ACTTCCTTGTTTCTAAGGCTATAGATCAGGGGGTTAAGCATGGGAATCACTGTGGTATAAAACACAGAAGCCACCTTCTCCTGGGTTGTGTCATTGGTAGATGGTTTAAAATACATGAAGGTGATGGAGCCATAGAAAACCCCAACAGCTGCAAGGTGGGAGCTGCAGGTACTGAAGGCTTTGGACCTGCCACCAGCTGAGTGTATATGCAGAATGCTGGAAAGGATGAAGATATAAGAGATAAAGATGGCTATTGCACAAGCAAATACATTAAATCCAACCACAATCATCACCAAAAGCTCCTTGGTGTAGTCTCTCAAACAAGTTATATTTAGAAGAGGAAGGATGTCACAGAAGTAATGGTGGATGACATTAGTTCCACAGAAGGAGCGAGTGGATATGTAGCTAGTATGAACCAATGCTCCAAAGACTCCCACTGCATACACACTGGTGACTAGTAGCAAACAGACTCTGTGGGACATGGTGATGTGGTAGAGCAAGGGATTGCAGATAGCAACATAACGATCATATGCCATGGCTGTCAGCATGTAGGAGTCATCAATACCAAAGAAGCAAAACAAAAAGAGTTGAGCCATGCACTCCAGAAAGGAGGTAAAGTTCTTCTCTAACATGAAGCTCTCCAACATCTTGGGGATTATTACAGAGGAGTAGCAGAGATCTATGAAAGACAAGTGACTGAGAAAATAATACATAGGAGTGTGAAGCTGAGCGCTGACCCTGATTAAAAAGAGCAGACCCAAGTTCCCCACCATGGAGACTACATAGATGAGTAGGAACAGGAAGAAGAGAGGGAGCTGGAGCCCTGGGCGGTCTGTTAATGCCTCAAGGATAAATGCAGTTACTGATGAATGATTTCCTGTGTCCATACCTCTCCCAGTCGTGACTGATGAGTGGATCAAGGGAGAGCATTTCATTAGACAAACATTGTCATCCAGTAGGGTTTAGTGACTTGAAATCTGAGGAATGATGTATTTTTCAAATTATTCAGAATTTCAGAGTATAAAA